AAGCCTAAACATGTAGCTCAAAGTCTAGACTCTAAACGTCTAGCCTGAATAGCCTGAGGAGCCGTACCTATTGCAGGGACAAGTTCTGGGTCCCTGAACACAAACTTCGAATCCTAACTCATAATGTAGGAACCTAGTTAAGAAACCCTTGGTCTTTATTTGGGGTCTTTAATGAATCCTAATATAATTGGGGTTACAGGACGGTCTTTATTTGGAGTCTGTAATAATTCCTAATATAATTGGGGTTACAGGACCCTCAACCCCAAACCCCAAACCCAAAACCCGAAACCCTAAACCCTAATGAGGTTCATACATTAACCAGTGGCAGTCATGTACGGGTGTTGAACGTCGTCAACCTCGATAAGTCCTTCAGCTCACAGAAATCTACCCATAGTCTCCAGCGCAGTTCCTTCTTGGGGTTACCTTATAGGATCCTAAATCTAAATTGGGTTAAGCCGAAAACAAGGAACCACAATGGAGACCATAGGTATAATGTCGGGGCCTTAATACTTACAATAGGGTTCTGGGGGGCTCCTTATTATAATTATGCTATATATATATATATATACGTATATATATATATATATACATTTTATCCTAATTTCAAACGATTATGCTATATATATATATATATACCCCAAATTCTATTCTAATTATGAACGCACCTATGCTAGGCTGGGCAGGATCCGACCCGAACCCAGTACCCAGGAAAGCTCAAGCGCTACGGAGGCCTTCAGACCCCAAGCCGAAGCTCTGAGTCCGAAACCCCAAGTCTAGGGGCCTAAATGATTACCTATACTTTTTTCTGGGGGGAGGGGTCCTTATTATAGTTATAGTATAGGGGCCTAAAGAATTACCTGTACCATTTGTTTTTTTTTGGCGGGGTTCTTATTATGGTTATAGTATAACGTACCCCAAAACGCTATTCTAATTATGAAGGCTCCAACATCAAACCACAATTCAGGGAGCTCGGCTTTGGGGGGTTTGGTGGTGACAACTTCACAAACAAAAGGGGCGGGCCTGGATGTGAGAATCGGATCCACGTAGAACTCGTAGTCCTTGGCTTGTCGAAGGGCTTATGGTTTATCTTTGAGGAATGGAACAGGACCCTAGGTCTGAACTTACAGGAAGTAGGCCTATAACGATTGCGTGACTTGGGGTTGCGGGCGATTTTGGATGTATGCGGTTCGAGGTTTGGAAGTCGCAGCTTTCTTGCCGTCAAGCCGGAAGTCATCGGGTATTCAGCAGATGAGGTGAAGAAAAACGCACGGAACAAATAAGGAGCAGCAAGCAACAAACATGCTGCAGGAACAGAAAATTCATACTTTAATTAGTGGTCCTTACAGCACGGACCCCATAATTCCCGACTCTGGCTGTTGCTAGACCCATCGCTTCGCTTACAATGCACTTCAACACGACATCTCTTACTCGAGCATGTCTCCAGGGATCCAGACAGGGTTTAGGGTTTAGGGTTTAGGGTTTAGGGTTGATCCAAATCCCAAACCGAGGTCGGTTCGACACACATGGGCACAGTCGGCATCGCCCGAAAGCCTCCAACTTTTTCAGCCAAGAGCTAATTGAGCCCCCAAATCTATGCTCTAAACCCCAAACTCCACAAGCTTATGTGAACCATGCGGAACCCTATTAAGCCTGATTACACACCAAAGAAACATCCCACAAGAAAACGCCACGTACTCCCTGACTCCCACAAACCCTCTTTGCCAAGCAGCAAGGCAGATACTGTTGTCACCCTCGCACCGGCTAAGGGTTCCGAGTTTGATGATCCCTTATATAGGGGCCTTAGCAGTTACAACAGGGTTTTGGGGTCCATCATTATACTATACTTATACTATATACTTATAATAAGGAACCGCCAAAATAATATAGGTAGTCATTTAGGCCCCGGTATTGAACCTAGGCCCAAAACAAGATCGTCAGAGATCTCGCTAGCAAAGCTGGGTTTCAGGGCTGGGGCCCAAGATTGTGTCAAGCTCATATCAGCCCCGGGGCTCCTTGTTCTAAATATAGGGTTTAGGATTTAGGGTTTAGGGTTTAGGGTTTAGGGTTTAGGATTTAGGGTTTAGGGTCTACAGGGCCCCAAAGCCCTATTCTAATTATTCAGGCCCCTATATTAGCCCATATTAAGGCTTACGAACCAGATCCATGTTCTTCTGATTGGAGGCCGGAGGCTTCCCTTGAAAACACGGCACATGCGATTTAGCGGCGCAGACATTCTGAGTATGTGGCTTCGGCTCATGGTTCCAAAACGAAGGTGAGTTTGCACAGGACTCAAACCCTAAACCCCTAAACCCCTAAACCACCAACACTCTTGCCAGATCGCACGGCGTACCATGACGCTTACCTCTGGCATTAGGAAGACCCTGATATGGCCTTACAACCCAACTTGCAACCCATCTAGGCAAAAGCACCACGAGCCTCTAACAGTTACTCCCCTGTAGCTCTTCCCACCTCATTTAGCCTCGATGAGCCCCTCCTCAACCAGTATTCAACCCTTACCAGCCTCAGGCTCCCCTCATTACTGAGCTTTCATGACACGAGAGCACGAGGTTGTTTACACTTAGGGCGAACAGGGTTCATGATTGGGGTTTAGGGTTCACAATACTACACCCCCTCAACCTGCAAGCCCCCGAATTGAATTCCAAAGCCTTAGTGAGGCAGGGGCCTTTATACTTAGAATAAGGTTTTGGGGTAGATTATACTATAATCGCAATAAGGAGCCCCAAAAATAGTCTTGGTAATTTAGGACCCCCCCCCCCCCATCTTAACTGGTTTCTGCTGCCTCTTCTTGCAGCTCGTGAGCTTGCTCATCTGCTTGGACAGCATCCTGCTTGCTTGCAGGATCATGTCGTGGTCCAGGGCTTGGGATTTACATCGAAATCGGCGCCGGACTCTTAGAGATGAAGGACTAGGATCGGAGAGTATGCGGACTTAGCTGTCAGGTCTTATGGTTTCAGGGATTGCGGCTTCCAGTCCAGGGCTTCGAACCCCTGAACCCTAAACCCTAAACCCTTGAAGGGCATGGGATCTCGAGTAGTTGGATCAGGATACTGTGGGAGCCCAAAACGGCAGCAACATGGATTCTAAAAATGAAACACGAGAGGCGGTTTAGGGTTTAGGGCTTTGTTTTAAGGGTGCAGTGGGACTTTCGCTTGGCTCCCTGCCCAATTTGGGCCTGCACTAGAAACTTGAAAGTTTAGGGTTTTGTCTTGTTTAGGGTTTAAGGTCTAGGGTGCCCCTTCACATACTTCACGGGAGAGTTGTACACCTGAAGGAAGGTGAGCCTTGCTCCCGAGCCAAACATCTTTTCATCATCCTCATACCCTGCTTAAGTAGACTTGCCGAAAAGATGGACTAAACCGAAAAGTCTCGCAAGCTAAATGCTTGGCTTCGAAAGTCTCACAGGACATAAGTCTGGCATGGCTTCTGTAACGAAAACATCCACGCAACATGTTGAGCCAGACGCGGGTCTCCTCCAAGGCCACATTGCGCGAGGGTCGGGCGTAGCGTCGCTCGCAATACGCCTGAAACAAAGCTAAGCTGTTTAACATATCCGTGCATCCTTCGAAATGCAAAGATACCGAAAGAGAACACAACACCTCCCACTCGTGTTTGAGACTTTGAAAAACTGCTGGCATCTGCTTACAGGCGACTTAAGGCTCTGCCCGGATGCCTTGAACACCAGCGTCCCGATGGGCAGCAGGGCCGTAGCGACGAAATCTCGGGTCCATGAAGCGTGCAGTTGCTCACTCGAAATCAAAGTCAATGTTCAGCGAAACCACCCGTTCGTGACGACAACTCTCGCGGTGTTGATGATAATCGTGGTGCTCGTGAGAACGAAGATGAAATCAAGAGGAAGACAAATGTGAAAACGATTCTGATGATGATAATGAACCATGGTGACGGTGATGAGGGTAGCTATGATATTCTTATGGTGCTCGTTGTGGTGATGACGACGGCGAAAAACACACACACAACATAAGCATTGATTGTGTTGATAAGGATGATGGGTCCTTATGGCCAGCAAGATGACGATAGTGATGCTGCCATGGCGATTACGATGAAAGCAGTGGTGAGGTCTTACTCCTGTCGACGCAGGCGCGAACTGCATCAAGATGTGAGAATCGCTTGCTTGATGCACTTCGAAAAATTCTTGCAAGTAGCCGGCGGTGTTACGAAACTACCACGGGCCCTAAATCCACATCGCAACCCAGTTCTAAACACCTAGTAGTAAGGACCTCCGGGTCTCCATCAAAGGTTACGTGGAGGCTTCTGGAAAAACCCTGAAGCCTGACCTCATTCTCAGAAGCTTGAACTTTGTGGTGTTTTCCCCTCTGCCGAGCTCTGGCCCAAGCATTTTTGCAGCCTGGCGGCTGTACGATTTGAAATCGCCTCCCAGCTCAGACAAAATCATCTAAGGGCTTTGCGATAAGGTTGCAGCGCGCTATCTAAACTATGTGATCATGGCTGCAGAATGAACCACGCAGCTGCATGCCACAGAAATGAAGTCAATAGCCACATAATGGGTGGACGGACAAAGCCATCAGCGTGCCCTGGGCCCTGAAGCGAAGACTCCAAAATCCTTCGCATTTTGGAGCATGACGATAGTACCATAAGTCCAACTGAAGAGAGGAGCCACCTACGAGTAGCCTTTCCGCAGGAGGGCAGAGGAAATCTACTCTTCAGGGAGGAGGTCGCTTCCCAAGTCTTCCAAACATGAGCCTGTGTGAGGCATGGTCGCAGTGTCCCTTATGCAGAGATCCGAGATGCCGGAACTGCCATCAATCCTACCTATAGTCTCCATTGCAATTCCTTTTTTTCGGTTTAACCAATTATATATTAAGGATTTTATAAGGTAAAGGAACTACAATGGAGACTATAGGTACACCCCAGATCACAGAATCAGAAACAACGGGGCTCTCGGAAGAAGCTATCCTCGAATCGCATCCGGATCCATCAACATTCCTTGGAGTCTCGCCAGCCTGTGAAGGTCGCAAGGGCCATGAGCGTCACGTTGCTGCAGAAAAGACCAAAAACAGAGCAGTCGAAGAGGTCATACCTCAGCCAGTTGAATATATCGGCTGCTGCCCAAATTTGGTACCAACCTATGAAGACTGCTCATGATGAAGAAGATGTTGATGTCTGGCCAGAGGTCACTGTATATTGGTTTCAAAAGGATCACAGAGCAAGACAAAGTCAATGCGCCGAGCTGCCTCCGTGGCCTAAACAGTAAAATGCTGCTAGCAGGATGGAAATTCTAAGCGATTCGACATGACGCTGATCCAAATTTGATGAGCATCCCACACCCTCAAACGCTACCCTGAAGCCACAGCTCGAAACTCCGAAACCCTGAGCGCTCCCCTCCAAACCCTACAAGTACCTCCTAAAACCCCTAAACCCTAAACCCTAAACTCACTCCCACTCACTCGCCATGTGGTAGATCCAGAGCGTCTAAACGTGCAAGCCCGAAAAGCGGCAGGCGCTGTGGCTATCGCGGGCCTAAATCCTAAATCCTAAATCCTACACCCTAAACCCTAAACGCCCTAAACCGGATAAAGACTGGAGCTAGGTGGCCAGAAGCTGCCCGCGCAATCGAACTCAGGCTCGTAAACCTCAGGCTTCAGAGGCTGGAGTAACTAAAGCATGCGCGCGCAGCCTGCAGTTGAAAATGTCCAACATGAGAAGCATGACCACTTTTGGTGCAAATCAGTCCGGGCGTGGAGCATTTGGAGGTCGCTCAGCTTGAAGCTCCAACAAACGGTGCGGTTCACCGAGGAATTGGGATCCTAACTCTGGAAAGACCCCACCTCTACTTAGAGAGCCCCATCAAAACCTTCTTTTCACGTCCATAGAGTCGAAACCTGCAGAAACGACGTCTGAAAGCCGTTCACAAAAGCCCAACAAATGAGTACATTGAGCCCCGAAGGAGCAACATCCATATGGTGCCGGCCAAAGTCACATACAGAAAAAGCCATCCTTCGTACATGCTGAACAGCGGGGCATTCATGCATTTGGGTGTGGGCTTTTGGATTTGTCAACTGTTTCGGTTCGGTGTCCAGGGCTTTTGGGCTTAGGGTATCTCATGGACGCCCCTTGCACTCAGGGTCCAAAACTCAGTGTCAGTAAGAACCAAAGACATGCGAACTACACGTCAACAGGATGACTTTTGTTGAGCATGAACCCATCTTCCCTGCATCGCCTGAAGGCATCTCTGTGTGCCCGTGCATGTGTGCTCGCACGTGCATGTATGTGTTTCCATACGTGCGTATGTGTGTCTGCAAGCCTGCATGCATGCATATACCTGCCTACATGTCTGCATGTCTCCAGGCATGCATGCCACGGTGCCTGGAAGATTGTGTATGTGTGCTTCTGTATCTGTGGGGACATGTGGATAGCTATGCAGCTGTGCATTTTATGCATGTGTATATGTAGACACACAGACGGAGAGGGAGCGGCGAGAAACGGATAAAGAAGCTAAATTCATTGGAAAGGTCCAGCAGGTGATTCAGAAAGCCAGCAAGCCGGAAGTCTTTCACCCAGAGATATATAGTAAACAAAAACTCCTCTACTCACATACTGTTAGTTACACACCTGTTCCTTCTTGGCTCGAAGACTTGAGGCTGCTGCTTCGTTCAGTCTACGTAGAACTGGCTGTTGATCCACCCTAAACCCTAAACCCTAAACCCCTAAACCCTAAAACCCTAAAACCCTAAAACCCTAAATTCAGACAGGGATCTGTAGAAGACCGTGGCCAGCGCAAAGTACAGGGTACAGGCAGGCATGATGAAGGGAGCCGAAGTCGAGTACCTCGACGGTTTAGGGTTTAGGGTTTAGGGTTCAGGGTTCAGGGTTCAGGGTTCAGGGTTTAAGGTTTAGGGTTTAGGGTTTAGGGTTTAGGGTTTAGGGTTTATAAAAATTGTATAATTCTAGTCCCACACAGCTGGATACGTAATGTAGGGACCTTAATAATTAGAATAAGGGCCCATTATATTAGAATTGGAATAAGGAGCCACCGAAATAGTATTGGTAATTACTCAGGTCCCTACATTGACCCAAAACAACTCGATCTGGAAGTCCCGGCCTGTGAAGCTTTTCTATGTTATGGCTGCTCTTGGGCACTGCACTCTGCTTCTGGGTATATGCATGGTTGCTGTAAGAATCGAAGATGATTATTCGTAGGTTCAAGGGGGGTAGGCTCCGGCACAGTATGGTGTGGAGCAGTAAAGCCCAGTGGACATAAAAACCTCCCACCCGGTGAAACCAGAGCAGCCGAGGCAAAATCTTAACAAACCTTCCGAGCGCTCTTAAACTCCTAAACCGTGAGCCCTAAACTCTAAACCCTAAACCCAAAACTCAACAAAAAGCACACAACACATGAAAAGCTCTAAACCCGAAACCTTGCAACCCAAAACCCCAACCCAGCAAAAACACACAACACATGATCGGTTGTTGACGCATCCTAAAGCCAAAAAGGATCCAAAGGTCTGAACAAACTTTAAGCCTCCCCAAGGTCAGCCTGTGGGGTTGGTTGAGGTTGAGGGTTCAGGCTTTAGGGTTTAGGGGTCACGGATCAGAGTGTAGGGTTCAGGGTTTAGGAATGACGGTATAGAGTACATAGGGTTTAGGGTTTCAGTCCGAATCCAATTCCTCGTTGCTGAGTCCGCCTTCTGATGCAGAAAGATTGCGACTAGGGGTTCGTGCTGAGGTTCTTGAAGTTTAGCAAAGGATAGCCTTCTGATTGATTACGGCAAAGAAGCTAGAATAGGGTCCTGAAAAAAAAAGCCATGGACCTGGGGGCATGGTCTAATATAGCGGAAGTGAGTGGCTTCAGGGAAAAGTAGTATACTGATCATTCCGACCCGTTTATTGTATCAGCCCCCACATTTACCACTGAGCTAGTACAAGTTCCCTAAAGTGCCCTTAGATTCCCTGACCACCCTGACCCTGAAACCCTAAAACCCCAAACCATCTCTGTCTTCCAGTGGCGTGAGCCCGAGCACCAGGACCTTTGATAAACGCTTGTTGGCGGTCTTGTCCCATCATTTTGTGGGAAACCTACAGTACAGACTGATATTACAGTCAGACCCCTAAAACTATACCATCCTGAAATGGGCGAGTTTCGATCTGCGGCAGAAGGCTCGGGGTTGCGGGTATGGGAATTTGAGGTGTGGGGCCATGTTTGCGGCACCATCATTAATGTGCAAGCGTCGGTGTTGCTGTCGCTTCCTTAGAACAGAGTTCTTGCTGTGGTGTAGTGTAGGGGCCTAGATAATTAGAATAAGGTTTGGGGATATAATATATTATATGATTATAATAAGGAGCTCCCAAAATAGTATAGGTAATTATTTGGGTGCGGGCGCATATGTTGCCCTGTTTGGTTCGTGCTTCTAATGCGCGCGAAACTGGGGTTTTAGCGTGATTTCTACAAAAACAGGTTTATAGGACATCACGGAAACTAACTG